GCTTCTCCACCAGCCACCAACACCACCATCACCACCGGCCAACCAATCAAACCCCAGCCACCAAAAAGAGTTTCGAGTGGTGGTGGTTTTTCGCAGCCACCAAAACCCGTTAGAGTAGCCACCAAAATCCCAAATTCGCAGCAACCGATACCCTAAATCGAAAATTCAAGGGAGGAGTTTTTGGGGGTTTTCGGGTTTAGGAGGGAGACCGTGGTCGGTGCTGGTGAAGGGGAGTTCGATGATGTTGAGGTTGTTGGATTGACGGCGGAGATTTGCGGCGTTTAAAGGGGTGGTAAGGAGAGGGAGAGTGAAGGGTGTTTGGGAGAGAAGGCGGTGAGCGAGGTGGAGGAATGGTCGGAGGTGGCCTTGTGCTAAAAATGGCAGAGTGGGAAACCGCCTCAGGGGGAGGGGAAGGGGAAAGCGGCGAGTGGGAAACCGTCGCCGGGGAAGGGGGAGAGGAAACCGACGCAGGGGGAGGGGAATTAGCGCCGCCGTTTGGGGTTAGACTAGTGATTGTTGGGGTTGGCCGGTGGTTTTTGGGGTTGCTGGTGGCTGGGGTTTGATTGGTTTCCGGCACCAGGGGAGGGTTTTTTCGGGGGTGGGGGTGTTTTCCGGCGAGTGGGGGTGGGGGTGTGGTGGCAGCCGCTGGGTATGGGTGGGTTTGTGGGGTTTTTATTTTTTTATTTTTTGTTTTTTTGTTTTTTTAAAAATAAAAATAAAAAATTAAGCCAATCATACGCTGACACGTGGCTAGGTAACCTGCTACATCAGGTTAGATGACCTGTTGGGTGCAACGAAAATTAATACCCCCTAAAGTTGGGTGCAATAGATAATAAACGAAAGTTAGGATTATTTTCGGCGGACGAGGCAAAGTTCAGATTAATGGGAGCAATTTTTCCAAAATTATATTATCTAAACTTAAATTATTTTTATTGACTAAATCCCTATTCTCTTCACCTTAAGAAAATAACATTCAGTTTATATAAATTTAGTTCAATATAAAAATTACTCCCTCCGTATTTAAATACTTGCTCCACTTTTCTTTTCCGGCCGTTTTTAAATACCTGCTCCATTTTCTTTTATGGAAAGCTTTTACAATATTTAATTTATTTCTCACACCTAGTGGACCCAACATAATACTCTCTCTCCTCCTATTCTTCCACTACTTTTACTTTTTATAATTTTTTATTTTCTCAACTACCCCACTACCTCCATATTTTATTACTTTCTCCAATTTCTCCTAAAACTCCGCGTATGAAGAATTGGAGCAAGTATTTAAAACGGAGGGAGCATTACAATAAAAAAAAAAAGTTCACTACAATAAAAATAATTTTAGTTTAGTAAAAATTGATGATTTTAAATAAGAAAAATTATAAGGATTTAGTTAAATTAATTTTAGGTCGGTAAAAATAAATTTAAATCTAACAGAAATAATTTCAATTTAGTATAAATAATATCAGTTCAGCAAAAATAATAAAGTGAAGAGAACAGGACCTAAAACATATTTAAACTGATGTATAGTACCTCTTTTTTGTTTGAAGTTACTAATATTTTACTGAATTAAAATTATTTGTATTGGAATGAACTTATTTTTATCAAATGAACGGAAATTTTTACTGCTTATTATTCAAATAAGGTCAAGTAAATAAAGTCTACACTGTGCTTAATAATTGTGTTAGTCAAATCAAGAAATTTTATGCACAGATCATATCCTAAGTTATGTACATTACTCCGTATTTTTTCTTCAATTTTTTGAATAGTCATATTTATATAGACTTATCTAAGCTTATTTTGCCAATTACTCTGTATTTTTTCTTTAATTTACAATTTTACACTGTATTTTGTACGGAGTATATAGTATGAATTTATTTAAACTTAATTAGTTTGAAAATGACATATATTTATTTAGAATTTATATCATCCGAAAGAAGTTAAGCAAAACACATTTCCAAAAAAAGGAACTTCATAGGCTTTAAAGTGACCTTTAGGAAATTAATAATGTGTTAATAGTAACAAAACTTTAAAACAAAATTGTACTCACTACTAGTCACAACATGTGGGTAGAGGAAGAAAGCTTGTGAAAGTTAGTTGGAAAAGTAATTTACAAAAAAAGAGATCTTAATATAAAATTTATTGTGAGATTAATATTCCGATGGAATCAGATTTGAGTGGAAGATATTAAAGGCATACAATAATAAACTGTGATTGTGACGAAAATACCCTTGGCCTTTCAAAAATTAATATACCCCACCTCCCCAAGTTGCCTTTGTAAAACCTACTATACGCGTTTCCTTGCTCACATTGCCTAACCTCCTTAAAATGACCATTTTATCATCCAAATAAACCCACTCATAAAAAATTAAATTAAAATAATAAATTTGGACCGTCAATGAAGTGGGTTTCTAAAATGCCTATTTTGCCCCCCTACCTAAATAAAGAGATAATGCTAGACGTAGGAAAGAGAAAGAGGAATTTGAGAAGCATCTTCTTATCTCCTATGCAAACAAAATATCAAGAGAACTTTGGTTATTGGGCTCAACTTTATTCATTTGGATATTGGGCTCAACCTTATTCATTTGGATATTGGGCCCCATGCCTTGTTACATAGGCCCATTCTATCTTGGGTCTAGCCTCACCATCTATTATTCAACATTGCTTATTATCTAAACTTGTTAACTTTATTTGAAATTATTTTAGTCTTAATTAAGTAAAAATACAGTTAATAGAACAAACCTTTAGAATAATACCACTCATATTATTAACTTTATTTGAATTTATTTTAGTATATTGGTAGCAATTAGAAATACCCGACTAGTATAAAAGTCATGTAAATTTACACTAAAATATCAACTATCATGATTAGTGTTGTCAAAACCTTAACACTAACCTAACTTGTTTAACTTAAAGTGACATGTCGCATTCTCCTTTTTTTTTCCTCCTTTCTCTCTCCAAAACCCTAGCCTCTATTGTTGAATTTTGAAGGGGCTTCCATCGATTTTAATCGGTGGAAAGCCCCCTTGTTTCTTTATTGTTTTTTTAGGTTTATAATAATGCTTCCTCCTTTTGGGAGGAACTTTTCTCCCTCGAAAGAAAGGGTTTCCGATCTCCTTTCGAAAGACAAGGTTTATCTCCTTCTTTCGAGGGAGAAATTTCTTAGTTTTAAATCCATAGTAGCAGATCTAATGGATTGTCGTGAAATTATTTCGTTGGTGAAAAAGTTATTAAGTTTTCGAATACAAACAGATGAATCAGAAGGAAAACATCCTCACGGCTACAAAGAATCGTTAGATTGTCTCTCCAATAAGACTGTAATTTTCAGCGATATAAGCGGGAGATGCTCCACAGTGCAAGATCTACTCGACGATCGTAGTTTTTATGAAGGAAAATTCTATTTGATTCAATATGTTATGTATTTGTTAATGTTGAATCTTTATTGTAGATGTTGTATGACTTTTAATTAATGAAATATTTTTGCTATTCAAAAAAAAAAAAAAAGTGACATGTCGCATTGACTCGTTTAATTATAAGAGTTGGAATTGGAAGTCCTTAACACTTACTTCTTTTTTCCAAGTTTAGTTTGTATTGTATTAATTTAAAAAGAGTATCCTTTATTTACTTAATCATCAATTCTAAATCATTGGTCATTTTTTTTTGAAGAATTGAATCTTGTTAGTTTCATATTAAGAATCGCAACACTTACCCGACTAATTTAATTAAATGTGTCATGTTGTGTAGACCCTATTAGATAGATTGTAAACTCATTACACAAACCCTTTTTTTTCTTTTCATATTCAATTCGTATTGTAGTGTTGTATCGTGTAAGACCTGTTAGCATTTACCGGGTCTAATGTTGACCTATTTCACGGCCCAAACGTTGCTTAAACATGACATGACCTAATTCTGAATTAAACAACCCCATCTTCCAAGTAAGGCCCAAATATGTTTTCAATAAAAAAAAGCACAAATAGAACAATAGTTTAATTATTTATTTTTAAGGCAAAAACTAAGCTAGGTAAAAGTAGAAAGATTAAATTAAAATGAACATTAATTACACCAATAGACGCGTGATTTTGTCATGCTTTTCCAAAATAATACCATTTTTAGTCAATATTTTAGTTGATTATCCAATGCCCTGGGGGCGTTCGTTAGCAAGATCCATTTTTAAACCAGGATAATAGATTAAATAGTTTGAAAACAAATTATTATCCTTTAACTGTTGGTTAACTATTCGGGAGTAATAGTAATGAAGGAATGTTATGCATGTAAAAATGCATGATAAGGGATATTCATGTAGTTACATATATGTACAATAGTGGTATCATTGGATGATAAAAACATACCACTAAACATGGGGATGGTATATATGCATATAGCAGCATTATATATACATTTAGTCGTATAAGCTTACACTGGAACAATCAGTATGTGGCCTCCCATCATGTGATACAATTTAACCAAAAAAAGGTATGGTCCACCTAGAGACCTATCTCTTTCTATCTCTCTCCTTTTTTCTCTCTCTACCATTTTTTTTTATAGAATATACATTCCTCCCTTTAAAAGTCCTCGAAGGCTCGTCTTCTTTAATTAGTAACTTGGTAAGTACTGTACATCTTCCTCTCTTGCTCTCTCCCAAAATGTGGATAAAATAATTTGAATATTATTTGTGGGATACTTAATTTTTTTGGTACTCGTATATGCTTAGTTATATCTAATACAAGTATGCTTTAATTTTCAATTCTATCATTGTTTAATCTATATCTGCTATTCACAATAGCCAATCCAGAAACGATAAATTTAGGGAAGAATCATAGTACAACTGTAACTCAAAATCCTTAAATCAAGAGTCGTTGTAAACAAAAAAAGTCTTAAATTTCAAAATCACTCGATAAAAAAAGTCTTAAATTTCAAAATCACTCGATATAAAAGCCCGTATAATTTTAGGTTAGTAAAAATAAGTACAAATAAATTGGTGTAATAGCCTAATAGTTAAAATAAAATAAAATAAAATAAAATAAAGCCCAATTTGGTTGGTTTGTATATTCTTCTAATTGGACTTAAAGACTCGTCCCATTTATATGTTGGACGGACCTGACCCATTTATAGCTGGGGGCGGGTTGAACACCTCTAATTGTGATAAAGGAAAACAAAAAAACAAATGAAGCGCCTTCTGATACTTGTATGAGTTGTATTATCCTCCATTGAAGCAGCTACTGAGGTAATTTGTTGTTTTTATTTGTAATCATCATTTCAATTTCACAATTTAAGGTTTAATTTAAGTTATTTTACTTGTAGTTTATTGTTTGAAAACTTTAACTATTGGTTCTAATTACAGTTCTAAGATTATATGATTGATAATTGAATCAAATATGCCTTTTCTACCCAAAATTATTTATGTGATGATTGAATCAAATTTGGTTGTTAATGTGTTGCAGAACCCTTTAATGTTAGAATTGAACTGTGAAATGGGTTTGGTTGAATTATACTGGAATCCAAATTTATGGTTGATTTTATAGGGATTTAGCAATGGTTAAATGGTTTCTTTTGCAGGTTGAATTAAATTTGATTGAGAAAGGGTGTTGATGATGCTTAGAATTGTTCTTTGAGCTTCATCATCACACTGTAGAGTGCACTGCTAATTTTGTTGTGTTGGGTTGATGAATGTTAGTGTGATAACATGGATTCTGGTTTTTTGAGGTCTAGATTACATCAACCCCTACCCGCTGTTCAAATTTTCACGCACAAGTTAATTCGAAACATAAAACGCGTAAACTTGTCCAAGGTATATGCCAAGGTGCATTTTGATTCAGCAATTCACCTTAGAAAACCTCCTAAATATCTACGTTATCCACGACGTACCAAGCTTCCTCCTGATTTTGGGATTGATACATTCATAAAATCAGGGAATGAGGTTGAGGAACACCTTGAAATGGATGCTCAAATTGAGTGGAGTTCTGATGATCATGTTGAAAGGGTTGCTTTCAGTGATGACGAGAATGATGAAGACAAAGATGAGGATGAACGTGATGTTTGTGAAGCTGATGAAATTGAGGCAATATCAGCTCTATTTCAAGGAAGAATACCTCAAAAACCCGGGAAGTTGAATAGGAGAAGGCCACTTCCACTACCTCTTCCACATAAAATCCGACCATTGGGACTCCCAACGACAAAGAAGCATGTCAGGTCCTCTTCACCAGCAGCACTCTCCAGAATATCGATATCAAAGCAAGTCTACAAGGATCCCGTTTTCTTACTCAATTTGGCAAGAGAAATTAGAAACCTTCCTGAAGAGGCAGATGTTTCCTGTGCTCTCAACAAATGGGGTAGATTTCTGCGTAAGGGGTCTTTGTCTTTGACCATCCGGGAATTGGGTCACATGGGTTTTCCTGACCGAGCACTGCAGACATTCTGTTGGGCACAGAAACAGACCCACCTTTTTCCAGATGACCGGATTTTGGCAAGTACTGTAGAAATTTTGGCAAGGACCCATGACCTTAAATTACCCTTTGATCTTGATAAATTTGTTAATTTGGCTAGTCGTGGTGTTCTAGAAGCAATTGCTAAGGGTTTTATCAAGGGAGGAAGCTTGAATCTGGCATGGAAGCTTCTATCTGCAGCTAGACGTGGTAAAAGAATGTTGGACTCCAGCATCTATGTCAAGTTATTATCGGAGCTGGGGAAAAACCCTGATAAAAATAACCTTGTTGTAGTCTTACTGGAAGAGCTTGGGCAGCGAGACAATCTGAACTTAAACCTGCAGGACTGCACTGCCATTATGAAAGTTTGTATTAGGCTTGGGAACTTTGATTATGTAGAGTCCTTGTTTGACTGGTTTCAACAGAATGGAAATCAACCAAGTGTTGTTATGTATACTACTGTGATTTATAGTCGCTTGTTCGCTATGAAGTATAGGAAGGCATTGGCTGTAGTTTGGGAAATGGAGCGCATAAATTGTCACTTTGACTTGCCAGCATATAGGGTGGTGATTAAGCTATTTGTTGCTCTAAATGACCTCCCAAGGGCAGTTAGATATTTTTCTAAGATTAAGGAGGCAGGTTTTTCTCCAACTTATGATATTTACCGGGACATGATCAGTATGTACCTGCTCTCTGGGAGGTTTGCTAAGTGCAAGGAGGTATGCAAGGAGTTAGAGTTGGCTGGATACAAATTGGATGCTGAATTGAGGTCCCATTTGGTGCAACTTGATGTATAAAGCTTGTCAGGTTTGTTTTAATATTTGTAGTAATTGGTTAATGAATGGCTTTATTATTAACTATTAAATGATATAGCTAGGCTGTCTACTGGCTAATTTTGTGCCGATTCTTTCACTTTTCCTTCTCTAGATTATTAAGGGAGATTTTTAGGACGAGCCATCAACAACTAAACATACCTTCTGTCTATAAATAAGCTCAATGAATAATGACTCTCCTGATCTTTTGATGTTGTCTTTATCATATTCACATTCATAAACTACGATTGAGTGAATTCATGTCATTGCAAGTCTGCGACATGAGTCATGGGCCAACAATTATGATGGTTATGTGACTTAAAAGCTGGGACTCCTAATGAACCAACAATTATGATGGTTATGTGAGTTAAAAGCTGAGACTCCTAAACACGTTAAATTTAGTTTATCGCTTTTGGTTATACACATGCAAGTGATGCAGTTTCTTTTCCCCCATTTGTAATTAGATATCAATGGAGTATGTTGCCTCATCTTTTCTATATTTTAGAGTCTAGATTGTATAAAATACTTCGTCCAAAGGGGTGCTGACCTGCCTTTTGATGGCCTTTTCTACCTGGATTTTGAGTAAGACCTCAACTTATATAATGCTGCTTTTGTTGTGTTTTCTTTCACTGATACTTGATTTTGGACTTTGGACCATAAAATTTGCACCTGGAAAACTAGGGAGAAAAGAGAGAAGAGCACCTGTCTCTGGAAATAATACTAATGGAAAATAGACAATTTTTTTTTTTTTTTTTGACACAGACAAAAGTTTTAAATTTTAGTTTAAATAGAAACGAAGAACTAAATCATCATCCCAACTACATCACTTAGAATAAGGGAAAATTGCAGCATATATGCTGCCATTGCTGGAACAACCCTCCAGAGGGGGAAGGAAAGAAGAAAAAAAAACAGGAATCATTCAACAATTTCAGCATAAAGGCTACAGAAGTTGTAATTGATCTTGCAGGAGAGTATATTCATGCTCTTACACATCAGTCATTATAAACCATCATATAAACAATGATATCTGGATCTTTTCTCCTGTTTAGGTTGTGCTACCATGAATTATACATGTTTTGGCTTTTCAATGCAGTAATTAATTATGTGCTCTTTCCACACTTCTTTCTCCAGATATGTTTCATAGAAGTTTACTTCTCCATTTCCTGACACTGTTACTGCTGCGGTGCTTCTTGTGCAATAATATGAATATCGCTGTGCCATACAATACAATTAATCACTTATTTTGATGGCCTATTGTTTAGTGAAAGAGCAGAGGTTTACAAAATTTCTTACCGAGGTTGAATCCGCTTTCACAAAGATAGAGCTCAGTCTGAATTCCCAGTCAAGTGAGCAAATATGAGGCAGCTTGCTTTCATCAGCTTTTTTTGTGTCCCTCATGACTTTGTTAACCATATCTTTGACTGGTATTTCACCCTCATCATATCTGTACAGTAATTTCTTGAACTTTAGTGCCAAGCGCTCTGCCTGTAAGTTTGGAAGAAGGGGCAGGTTCACAGAATTATTGTATAGTTGAGTGAATATGTGATAATTAATTTATATACTTCTGCAGAGAAAATAGCAGGAATTTTTGCAACAGACAAGTCAGTATTGATTTAAAGCAAGGGTTTGTGTATAAACATTGAAGAATAGTATTCAACCAAAAACGTAGCCATATTTGCTAGGTTTGCTGCCCCCTCCCCAACCTCTGCTGGGCATCCCCTTCCCTAATTTGGTCTTTATTGCTACAATACAAGCGAGAGAGGGAGTAAAAATGGTTTTAGTGGGGTGATCGATGGAAGAGTTAGGAGGGAGACTGGTGTCATGGCACCTAGTTTACCGAGCTGGAGTGTGTGGAGGTGCCAGATGGTTGTGCAACAAGCCGGTGAGTTTCTGATGGCGTTTGTAGTGAGTCAAGGTGAGAGAGCGGGCTACTGATGATCTACAGCTTGAATATGTGGGGATGAGAGTGTTTTTGACTCTTTTAAGCTGCTGTGGAGTATTCTAGTAAGGTTGGTCACATGGACTATTTTGAGAAGGGGTCCCCAATCTCCCCAGTTATTAGAATGCAATATAATGTAGAAGTTAAATTAATTTGGAAGATTGCCTGACCATCCATATTAGTGGTGATAATTTTCAAAAAAGAAAAAAAGAATATGGTTTAAGGCTAGACATGCAAATGTACTTAATTGGTTACATTGAAGATCTGGGGTCTGCTAGATATGCATTTGCATGTGGTTTGTTAGTTTGTTACGAGTACGATATACTATTGCAAAAGCAAAATTCTTCTGTAGTATCCATCTTGTTTCCCTAAAACAGTTATACGTAACTGAAATCCTTGTCTACTTCGTTCTTAACTTGTACTAAACTACTGATCAAAGTATGAGGTAGCCCCCTCTTAACTTTCCTTTTCTTTTTAAACTGTCATGAACTAGATGGTCTTAAATGCTTAAGCTTTTTTTGTCTTTTTTTTTTGTGCCATTTCCTTAAATGCAATCCTACTAGTTAAACTAATGCATTTCCAATTTCCTTATATTTTTAACTATTGTCATGAACTAAAAGATCCTAAATGCTTAGAATTTTTTTTTGTCTAATTCTTAACTTTCTTTTTCCAACCATTTCCTTAAATGCAATCCCACTAGTAAAATTAATGCTTTTCCAATTTCTTCTTCATTCACAGGCCATGTTAGCTGTATGAGCTAGATATGGAAAGTGCTTTCCTGTATTCAGCAACGAAAACTACCAGTGCATTTCTTAGCTTCTGACCTTTGGCCATGGAGAATCCAGCCTGCCATTTGTGAGGACATGGATTCCTGGTGGAACCTCTTGAATTCTGGCAGATTCCCCTTTTGGTCTGTTGGTTATGTAAATCATGCTTTTCGAGAGAAGATCAGCTACTATCAGGTTGAAGCCGTTGTACTCGTGAGCCTCTTCTGCTACCATCTCTGCATATTCTCTCGGACTTTGTTTACCCTGCAACAATACCCTTATAGATGAACTGATCTATGACTACATTATTGTATCATACTATCATTAGAGGAAAGCGCAAAATATTTCAGAAGCTATGTTACTCAGACTCAGTTACTTATGAGTTGTGTCTGGCATAGTAACATAGGTAGGTGAAATGGAGAAATGAAGAATTCAAATAATATAGTCCAAACCTTATAACCCAAGGTATGACTTCATTTTTGGCTTATTGGGAAACTTTATAGTGGACTTAAGCAGCAAATTTCATGAATAATTACGTATAATGCTCATCATGTATCTAAAGTTAACAACTCGTATTTTCTATTCCTTAATGCTTTTATTTACACATTGCTCGTCCAAATAGCTGAAGCTCATGTACATCCTATTCCTTCCAGTTCAATGGTGATTGAAACTAAGAAGCCTTACGAGCAACTTACCTTCAGGAAACGAACAGGTAACTCTCCTCGTGATTTTGCATCAGCAAGAGTATGAAGCTCCAAAACGTTGGTAATGAAGGCTACCTTTCCCTTTTTAGTACACGCAAGCCAGGTACCTCCACCTACTTCATCTCGACCTCCTAGAATCTCTCCTCCTTCCCACCACCCTAGTGGCTTCGTCGGCCTGTTTAGCAATGTCATAGTCCCGTTATACACATTGCATGAAAATATATCAATAATCATGTATCTTAATTAACGTATATTAAATGTAAATATAATGTGTACACTTGCCTGTTGAGATCTTCGTCTCGGTTGAGCAACAAAACGAAAGGGTGGAGGGAGAGTGCTTGCCAAGCAAATGCTGTTATGCACATTTTTTCTCTTCTTTGCTTTTGTTTTCTTTAAGGTGTTTGATACAGAAACTTTGTTATTAGCCTTTTTGTATGAAAAAATTGCTGTTTTAATTGCTTGAATATCAACTATCAAGTGGGCATTGTTGCTGGTTTTATTGACAACTTGATGCACATTTACGCTGTTTTTCTTATTGGCTATGGACTAAAATTATACTTTGCACTACTTTGGATGTTAGTCAAGGAGTGGCTCCTTCCCTTTTATAAACATTATGTGCATGGCTCCCTTTTGAGGCTATATATTGTACCGACTAGAGAGTGTAATAGAAAACATAATCACGTGATATCTTGTTAATAAAAAAAAAAAAAAAAAAAACAAAAACAAAAACAAATGTGGTTTACAAGAAGTCTTTATTAATTATCATACCTGTACCACTATCATAAGTTGTTATATGGGTTTAGTCAAATTAATCGGGGTGTCATGCTATAATAGAGATTAGTAATATTGACGACTTTAATTATTTGTCAATTTTGACAATAAATTTTGAATTGACAAGTTGTATTTCTTGTTGAGATAATGAGATTATTAAGTTGGAGTAAATTATGACAATTTAATCCAATGTATTTGTTGGATATCAATTGTTCCAAATTTTAGACTATAGTTATGATTATTTTTTTTTTCTTTTTTTCTAGAATTTTAGTATGTTCTCTTAATTTGGACTATATGTTTGATTGTAACTCTTTAAAATTCTCTCCTTTTGTTCATATATTTGTCTCTGGGTGTTTTAACGTGTTTGACAGTTTATTTTGCTAGGCCTCTTGATTATAGGAGTACCTTTTGAATTATTTTGTAATTTTGTTGTGGCTCGTATATTTTTTTTTCTGGTCTTGTTTTGTGAATTTGTCTCAACTATCATTATAGGCAACTTGTTAGCAAACTAGAAGTCTTCAAACGTTTTTCCTAAAAATTGCTTAAAATATAAATCAATTTCTTATTTGTATCGTTATGAAAACTTATTCCACCATATTGTCTACGTAAGATTGGTGGAAGCTTCGTTATATATTTTTAAATTATTGTTCAGCAAAGAACCGCTATCGATGATAGCGGTTCTATATATTAAAACCGCAAACACCATTAGCAGTTCTATACTTTTCTATTAAACTCACTCGGAAGTAAGATATTTAATTAATTAAAAGAACCCCTAATGGAGTTTAATTATGTTATTGACAATCCTTATTTACTTTCTAAGGGTTCGTTTGGCATTGCTGTGGTTTTTTTTTTTTTAGTTTTTTTGTTGTATAAAAGTATATGATATATGTCACATAATGAACCAAAAATTATTTAAACTTATTAAAATCATAATAATTTTGAAAATTGATAACAAAAAAGTGGAAACACCTTTTTCTTGTTTCCTGTTTTTGGTTCTTAGTTTAAAAAAAAAAAAACAGGAAACTAAAAACCAAAAATGATGCCAAACAAGCCCTAAGTTCTTAGTTTCCTTACCTTTTACTCCCTTACTTTTTCTTACATACTCCCCCATTTCATAATATAGTTTATGTTTCTGTTTTTTCACGGTATTTAAGAAATAGGAAGAAAAAGGGAAAATACAAGTTAATCTGCCATATAAACGAATTTTGATAATTTGATGACATTTTTGTAAATATATTGAAAAAGCAGGGTCATTTATTCAGTACTTTTGGTGAGCTGTTCAATTACTGTTTGCCTTTTGCTTTTACTGTTTGGTGAGGAAATTACACATGTACCCCTCAACTAGTACATGAAAAGACACATGTACCCCTCCATTAGTACTTGAAAAGACACTTATATCCCCAGATAAACAACATTTGTTTATCTGGGGAATTAACTGGGTATAGCTCGAAGAGAAAGTGGATGAAGTATATCAATATAAGTAAATAAAGTACAATCATAGACAAAATTTTGAGAGAGAAAGTGAAAAAAAAATACAAAGCATGTGCAAAATTCAAGGATAAATTAAAAAGTATAATAAATAAAGTTAAAAAATAAGGGTACAATAGTCTTTACACACTATCTAAAAATAGAAATAGGAACAGTATTTTGGATCTCCAAAATAAGAAAATAAGAACTATATTATGGGATAGATGGAATACTTTATTCACTTGTTTGTTACACTAATCACCTTATCAACTTATTCAACACTCTTTTCAAATTGTCAAAATTTGCATGAAGATAAGAAGCATCAAGAACGATTAGGAACACAATGAAGTAGCTTAATTTGTTAGAATTGTTTCCATTTGTAATTTATCAACTAGTGAGTAGGTCGGGTGTTGCTCACGTGATGCTTCTGTGATAGACGTGCAATTGATAAATTTTTTTAAAGGCTTTTCAAAATTGTAATTATCATTGTCAAACCAAAATCGAGTTATTTTTTTAGTATTTTTTTTTTCAATTGAACTTTGTGGTTTGCGCTTATATATATATATATATATATATATATATATATATATATATATATATATATATATATATATATATATATATTACCTATTAATAACATACTTGATGAATTAGATGGTGAAATTCTTATCTTTGTTATAAGAGGTTGATCGAGGGTTCGATCTGTAACAAAAAAGGGATTACATGGTACTTCGACGTACTTAGAAACACCTTTTAATATGTATTATAGATAGATACTCCCTCCGTCCCGAATGATAGTCACTTTTGGGTAAAAATCACGGGAATTAAGGAGAAATAAATAAAGTACATGGGAACTAAAATCCAATCATTTGCAAAACAAAAAGAAGAGAGAGAAAGTGATTGTCATTAAAAAGGGAGACAACTCATTCAATTAAGGCACAAGTACAAAGGCAAATATGAGGGTATTTTGGGAAGCACAGATAATACAGCCAAATAAATGAGGGTATATAGGTCATTTTGTGTTATTATATGGGATCTAAAATTGTGAAATGTGACTATTCTCTTACGTTGAAATTCAATTTAGTTCAGTTCAGCTCAGTTCAGCTCAGTTCAGTTCAGCTCAGCTCCTAATTTACTTCTCTTATAAAATATTCATTTCAGTTCAGTTCAGCTTAGCTCAGCTCAGTTCAGTTCAGTCCAGTTCAGTTCAGCTCAATTTAGTTCAGTTCAGTTCAGCTGAGTTCAGTCAATGAGAACAGACCCTAACATTTTGGGTGTCCAAAAATGGAAATAGTTACTATCATTCGGGGACGGAGGGAGTAACAATTATTAGTAATTTTTTGTTATTATTATATAATGATATAAATAATTAAAAAAAAAAAAAGGATTGATGACTAAAAAATATCAACTAATATAAGGGCGAAATTATTATTTCAAAAAAAAATAAAAAAATCAGATAAGTAATGACAATTGTACGTTTTGCATGTTAAGATACTACGCATAACGTATTACAAGATTTACAACTCCGTAGCGTAATTGTTCATGTGCATGCATAGCATATTGGTGCTTAAAAGATAAGTTTGCTACGTCAAGACTCAAGATTGAATTGCCTTGATATTGGTAACGGCTTAATTGGGAATATATATTTAGGAAAATTATGAAATTTGACCAATTATATGTCTTGCATGTTGCATGTCTTTGACCATTTTGAGCATTTTATGCATAACAATTTCATTATGCTTACACTGTTTAAGATTGGTTTAACACTTTACTCTCAAAAAAAAAAAAGATTGGTTTAACACTTGCCATTGCAACTGGTCTATTTCCAACAAGTTTTGAAAGAATCTATCCAAAAAAATACTCGGAAAAAATAAAGCAAACTTGTTATTTCCTTATTATTAATGCGTTATCTCAAATATATATAAGGGTCACCTTATTTGAGTAACATCAATTCTTAATTAGAAATAAAGTAACTTTATTTGTTGAAAAAGAAAAATTTGAATTTTGGTACCTTGAAAATAACCCTAATTGAATTTTCGCACCCGTTTAAAGTATTTTTTTTTTTATTTTTTTATTTTTATTTTGGTACCCATTAAAGTCACAAAATATAGGTTTTGGTATCTCCGTCTAACTTCCGTTAATTTTTCCGTTAATTGGGTCCTGTCACCTTCCAGCCACCCCTTAGCCACGTAGCAACCAGGCACGTAGACACCTCATCTCGCCACCACACCATCGCCACCAAAACACCAATTATTAGGTGCGCAACCACCCACAGCAGCCTCCTGCCGCGTCCAGGCCGAAGCCCAGCCACAATAGTCTGCCGCCGCGGTCAAGCACGCAGCCCTAGTCACCAAAGCTGCCGAAAATACTCCAGCCTAGGGGTGTCCATTATTCGGATAAAAACCGAAATCCAATCTAATCCAAATCGAATTATCAATTTGGATCGGATCCAAACTTAAATCGTATAGGAACAGATTGAATTTTTTTTGAAAATTCGGATTTTCCGATCGGATTTGATTGACCTTATTCGGATCCAGAAAACCGAAATAACCAAATTATATATGAAAGCGTTATTTTACAAAAAATATTGTTAATATTAATCATGTTAAACAATGTTTATGATTATAATAATAATAATCATGTAAAAGATTTTTTTAAAAAAACCCTAGCCTCCGTCCTCTCTCCTAAACTTTGGCCTCTATTATTAACTTTGAAGGGGCTTCCATCAGATTTCACCAGTGGAAAGCTCCAATCTTTATTTCTTTTACGTTTTCTTTGTTTTTTAGATTATAATAATGTTTCCTCGAAAGAAAGGGTTTATCTTCTTCGAAAGACAAGATTTTTTTGATCTCCTTCTAAAGACAAGGTTTTTCGAATTCCTTCGAAAGACAAGGTTGTTTTATTTGTGCTTAATAGAGTCTCTAGTTGTGCGGGGCTTCAATTGATTATGGCTCGGATTCGGGTTATGAATTCAACACAAGAAATTTCTTCCTCACAAATTATGAAGCGGCGACGGATCCACTCAAAAAATTGTACGAGACAACGAATCGAGAATGTGCCGAAGTGTTATATCTATGTATTTGGATTCTTAGCCCTTCCCAGATTAACTCTTGTTTGATTTTGTTAAATCTGTTTTCATTATCGTTAATTGTCAATTGTAGATGTCGTATGACTTTATTTAATGAAATTTAATGTCCTTTGGGACTTCTTTCAAAAATAATAATAAAATAATAATCATGTAAACCTATGTTTATGATTATAAATCATGCATGTACTACTATACTTTCAAGAATTGAAATTTTATTATTGCAATTTTTACTTTTATAATCGTATTAGACCCAAAAAAAATTAGCAATGTATTTTAATTTGGATTTTCGGATTGGCTCCAAATAATCGAAATATAATTCGAATTGGATCAAATTGGATTTGGTAAGTAATTTGAATCGGATTGGAGTTGAAAATTTAAAATCGAAATTTAAATTCAGATAGGATTGGATTTGAGCTAAATCCAAACCAAAAACCGAATGGACACCCTTACTCCAGCTGCCACCACCACCACTCGAAACTCCCATTCACCTCCAATTCGTCATCCCCTGACCCGCCAAAACCAACCTCAACGGTTTTCTGGGTTGTTTAAAAACCTTAAACGAGTTTTGTTTTTCGGGTTGCTTCATGTGGGTTTTAGGATTTCAAGGAGCGACAAAAAGGGGAGGGTGTTGTTTCAGGGGAGGGAGGAGGTCGGCGAACAGGGGAAGGGGGTTGTTTTGGACTTTTGGAGGGCAACTGTGCCGCGGTGTGTGGTGGTTTAGCAGTTATTGCGGCAGAAATCGGAGGAGGGAAAGGAAGGAGGTGGGCTTGACGGTGTCGGGGAATATTTGGGCACCGAAAACCGACACGGGGAGGGGGAAGGGTGGCTGACGGGGAGGGGAAGGGGTGGCAATGGCTGGTTATTTTATTTTATTTTTTATTTTTAAAGTTTTTTCTTTTTTTATTTTTAATAAATTAAATTATTAAATAATTAGATAATGGGCCCCACTAACGGAAAGATTAACGAAAGTTAGACGGAGGTACCAAAACCTATATTTTGTAACTTTGATGGGTACCAAAATAAAAAAAAAAAAATTTAAACGGGTGCGAAAATTCAATTAGGGTCATATTCGAGATACCAAAACTCAAAATAAAATAAATAAAATTAATTTCACTTATTTATAATGATAACTCTATTTGACAATTAACCCATGTGCCCAATAAATTGTTTGAATGTGAAATGGTCATAATAAGGCATTGCTAGACTTGCTACTTACATGTAAAAATTTGTGTTGTAACAAAATGAGTTAACCTAGTTCACATTAATATATACTAAATATATGGTCATATGTAA